CTACCTACCTACCTACCTACCTACCTACCTACCTACCTACCTACCTACCTACCTACCTACCTACCTATCTATCTATTCTAGGAGTTGAAGTCCACAAGTCTTAAAGTTGCCAAGTTTGGAGACCTCTGACTTAAGGGACCAGTCATAAGTTGAGGACTCTCCTTTCTGCTTTTAACCCTCTTCTCTTCTCTCTGAAGGACAGACGCAGTTGAGAAGGCTTCCATGCTGAGGACGAAAGCCATGCGGGAGAAGGAGGAGCAGCGGGAGCTGAAACGATACAACTACACCCTCCTGCGCATTCGCTTCCCTGACGGTTACATCCTGCAAGGTAAAAAGGGGGGTGAGCCTGGCGGTTGGCCGTGCAGCAAGGTAGTCCTTGACTTAGGAGCACAATTGAGCCAGTGAATTTTGCCATTTTACAACCTTCCTTGTCATAGTTGTTAAGTGAATCGCTGCAGTTGTTAAGTTGGTAATACGGTTGTTAAGTGAGTCCAGCTTTTCCCCCATTGACTTGGCTTGTCCAAAAGTCACAAAACGGGATCACGTGAATGTCATAAATGTGAATCAGGGGCCAAGGATTTTGATCACGTGACCATGGGGATGCTGCAGCAGCCATAAGTATGGAAAACAGATTGTTGAAGTTCCCAGAAGATGACCTAATTAATTTATGAGCCTCGAGACAAAGTTCAAAAGAAATCCATTCATTAATTAGGATCAACATTCTGGCCTGTACTCCTGCGGAGCCAAAACTGATTTACACTTAATGGCGTCTGAACTTTACCCCTGTGTCCCCTCCCATTTGCCTTGGTCATAACTCACATTCACCAACAAGATGATACGGCAGGTTACGGACATGCCAGTTACAAAAATATGAGACCTGACTCTAGGCAAAGGTATGCATGGAATTCTCCTCCCTTCTCTAGGCCACTTGATGGTAGTCATGGTAACACTTTACAAGTTGACACAGATCCTAAGTGGTTTTTTTTCCCCAGTGCCGTTGTATCTTTGAACGGTCACTAAATGAATGGTTGTAAGAGGACTACCAATAAAATATAAATGTAGTCCTCAACTTAACAACCGCAATTGAGCCCAAAACGTCTGTTGCTAAATGAGACAGTTGTTAAGTGCCCCATTTTACGACCTTCCTTGCCACGGTTGTTAAGTGACTCGCTGCCGTTGTTAAGTGAGTAACACGGTTGTGAAATGAATCCAGCTTCTATGTCGACTCGGGTCGCAAAATATGACCCCGGGGACAGTGCGACTGTCACAAATGGGTGTCAGTTGCCAAGCCTTGTTGATCCGGGGATGTAGCAATAGTCGTAAGTGTGAAATACGGTCGTAAGTCTCTTTTTTTCCCCCAATGCTGTTATAACTTCCAATGGTCATCAAATGAATAGTTGTAAGTCAAGTATTGCCTGCAGTGAGCGAAGGCTTAACGCCCGCAGTCAGATGTTCGATTCACTCAGCCTGGGAGCACCTAAGGAATTCTGGGAGTTGAAGTCCACAAGTCTTTAAAGCTGCCAGCTTTGGAGGCGCCAATCCTGAAGAGCCACCGCTGGTCTCTAACAGTCTCGTCCCATGATGGTGAACCTATGGCACGAGCGCCAGAGGTAGCATACAGAGCGATCTCTCTGGGCATCTACGCCGTTGCCAGCTGCTCCTCTGGTTTCCAGTGCGCCTATGCACACCGTCCAGCTGGTCTCCACACGCACCGGAAAACCCAAAGACCAGCTGGCCGGTGCATGCATGCCTGTTTTTTTAGTTGGTTTACAGGCCGTTTTAGGCCCTCAAACACTCGAAAAACGGCTTGGAAAACAGCCGAAAAACAGGCCATTTTTCGGGAACAGCCCCAAAAACAACCAAAATTGCCTCAAAACAGGTATGCGCGCGCCGGCCAGCTGGTCTTCGCCATGGTGCCGAAACGTTTCCCCATCACTGGTCTAGTCTCTATTTACAAGTGATCCTCGACTTACCACTGTAATTTAAGTCAGAATGACTGTTTTTTTTTTTAATTGAAATTTTTTTTAAAAAGCTTTTACAAATATTTACCTCCCCTCCCCACCCGAACCCA